GGGCCCGGAGAGTTGGGTAACCCATGGGCGATTAGCCGGGTGGAATGCAGGGGCATGCCGCGCGGCCACGGCCGGGCCAGGCTGAAGTTAGGAGGGAATCCCTGGCTAGCATTAAAAGGAGGGTGAGCCGGGTTGTAGGGCGTGTTGCCACGGCCACGTCCGCCCTGGGGAGTGAAGTTGGGACGGTTGCCGGCAGCACCGCTCATGTCACTCTGCTGAGAGACGGCGGACTCGCGGCGGATATGGGCTCCGGGCTGAGAAGCCAGGGCAGCCGGGTTCTGAGGCGTGGAAGCCTGTCTCATGTGACGCTGTGCACAGACTATCGTCAGCTCAGGGCTTTCAGGGCTTTCTTGAGAAATACGCATCTTGGGGTGACAAAAAGTCTTTTTGGGGCGGGGATTAAAACTTACATCGCCATCACTGCCGAGGCTGCCAAAGGTCATGTTGCCCTGCTGGGCAATGCCCGAAGGAGGACGACCACCACTGGCAGAGGGCTGGGGGATGGGGGAGGGAGAGTGCGCGGGAGACGGGACCCTGGCGCTCTGGTTGCCACCAGGAATGGGAATGGGGGCGGCGGACATCTGAGGCGAGCTATGGGCGATAGCAGGCGAGTCCTTGAAGCCGAACTGGATACCGGACTTGGAGCCTCCTCCAGCAGCACCACCGTTGGCGGCGTAGCTGTTGGGGCCGTTGGCGCTGATGGTAACGGAGCTCTTCCGGCTATGTTCGCCGGCGCCGTTCATATTGTTCGAGTTGTTGTTGGAGCCGTGAGCAGCTGCGGGAGCAGGCACGGCAGGGGTGATGGGAGGTCGTCCGTTTACTGGTGAAGGGCCGGAAGACTTGGCATGTTGCGCGGAAGAGCCGCCAACAACCACAGGAGTAGACTGGTTGGAGCCTGTTGCGATCAGAGGCGTCGAGGCTGGCTTCTTGGATGCACCTGCTGCAGAGGCATACGAAGGGGCAGAAGCAGCAGAGGAGTTCGGCGCCGGGTTGTTCTGAGAGCTCGCAGTCGAAGTCATATGTGGATCAGCGTTTGTCGCGTCGTCGACGAGTGACGAAGAGATCGGTGGCCGGAGAAGACGCTGGTGGTGAGCGATGAAAGAAGCGGGCGAGGGCGCAGATCGAATCGCGAGTGGGATTCGGAAGCACGAGGAGACGGGAGACGGGCCGTGAGAGCTCGATGAGGGCAACGAGCTGAAACAAGCCAGTAGGGAGGCGAGCAGACGTGATGCTGATATGACGGTAGATGGAGGCGATGGAGGTGTCGCGACGAGGTATATCGAGGTCAGGGCTGATCAAAGACAGGCCGACGTCGATAGAATCTCGTGTGGGAAAGAACGGAAATCGCAGCTGCCAGCGAGCGAGTGCGACCCAGGAACAGGCGTCTCGAGGATTAGATCTGCCGTCGAAAAGAGCGAGATCGAGATCCGAGGAGGGGAGATTCTTCTTGGGAAAAGGGTATTATCCACAAGAAAGAGAAGTTGGCCGGGCAAAGAAAAATATCTTGCACGGGGGCCAAATGGATGGTTGTTTGGTGATGGGTAGGTGGAGGGTTTTGCGAGAGGGAAGGGCCCGTCCAAATTTTTTTTGGGTGAGGAGATATGGCTAACCGGGCAAGAGCTGGGGCGCGCAAGGGTGGATGGGGGTGAATGGGTGGATGGGCCTACCGAGACGGGGGGCTTTGGGCCACTCGGGGGGGGGGGTGCAGTGAGCCGGCGCAACATCAGTGATGCCCCATTTTCCTGTGGGAGAGTGGTGTGTGTGGCAGAGGGGAGAGCACGGAAAGTGAGTGAGTGGGTGGGTCCACAGTGCTTCTAACAGACCTTGTCGGAGACACTTCGTCCCCTTCCCTTTTCCTGCCTTTCTGCCTGAGTCGGAGTCGGGTTTCCTGCTGTACACACATAGTACCTAGCCATCATAATTTTTCACCTCAAAAAATATACTTTGCTACCAACCTCGAACAGTGTGAAAGCCCCAATGACGGGAACATCGACAGGCCGCCGACACTAGCCTTGAATACCTCTTGCAAGCTCCATTCATCGGT